CGCGCTCCCGAGCGCAACCGGCGGCGCGCGCGCGTGAGACCCCCCCCCCAAACCACACCTCCGGGTGTGTCCCCCTCTGTCCCCAGAGAGGGGAGCTGTCACCTGCCACCCGCGTGTGGCCACTTGCCTCGCCCGGGTGGCCACTGGGACTTACTGGGACGTACTGGGGGCGCCGAGCTGTCCCAGTACGGTCCCCAAGTGTCGCTGCGGGGCGCAGAGGGGACCTTTGGGGACATGTCAGGGGTTGGAGGAGGATGGGGACACCCCGCGAGGGTCGGGGGGTGCCGGGGGGTCCCGAGGGGGCGGGCACGGGGTGACATCTGCTGGCACGGCCCGGGATGGCACCGCTCGGTGGTGGCAGCGCTGGGGACACAGAGGGGTCCCCGGGGTGCTGGGGGTGTCCCCGAGGGGTGGCAGCGTCCGCGGCAGGTGACAGTGTCGCCAGTGGGGGAATGCGGAGGACATGGGGGACACACGCGGGACACGGGGGACACACGGGGACACACGGGGGACACACACAGGACACGGGGGGACACACACAGGGGACAGGGGACACACGGGTACACACGGGGGACACACGGGGGACACATATACAGGGGACAGGGGACACAGACAGGACACGGGGACACACACAGGACACGGGGGGGACACACACAGGGGACAGGGGACACACGGGGGACACACGCAGGACGCACGGGACGCAGGGGACACATGCAGGACACACGGGGGACACACTCAGGGGACAGGAGACACACACAGGACACGGGGGGGACACACACAGGGGACAGGGGACACACACAGGAGACACACACAGGGGACAGAGGACACACACAGGGGACAGGGGACACACGGGGGACACACTCAGGGGACAGGGGACACACATAGGGGACACACTTGGGGGACAGGGGACACAGAACTGTCCCCAATCTCCGGTGACCTCCCGTGGGCGGGGCCTTTCCCGGCAGATCCTGCAGGGGGCGCCATCGCCGGCGCTGTCGAAGCCCCGCCCACCCGAAACGCGTCAGGCCCCGCCTCCCTCACAGGAGGCCCCGCCCCCCCGGTCATGGCGGGCGCGCGCGTGCTCGTGCACGTGCGGCGCGCGGGGGCGGGGGGGGCGGCGGCGTTCGGGCAGGTCCGGGGGGCACCGGGGGGCACCGGGGGGGTCTGGGGGTCCTGCCTGTCCCGGGAGCGGTGCTGTGTCCCCAGAGAGCCGTCAGCCACGTGTGACATCCGTGCCGGTGCTGTCTGAGAGTCACGGCAGTCCTGTGTGTCACCGGGGCTGGCGGTGTCCCCAGGGAGCTGTGACCCTCGCGTGTCACCGGTGACGGTGGTGTCCCCAGAGGGCTGTGTCCGTGGATGTGCCAGCTCTGGCTGTGTTCCCAGAGAGCCGTGACCCGCATGTGTCGTGGGTGCTGGTGGTGTCTGAGAGCCTCGTGTGTCACTTGTGACAGCGATGTCACCACAGACCTGTGCCCATGTGTGTGCTGCTGCTGTCCCCAGACAGCCGCGACCCGTGTGTGTCACTGGTGGTGACTGGCGTCCCCAGAGAGCCGTGTCTCATGTGTCACTGCTGTTGGCAAGGGGGCACCAGGGGGGGTCTGGGGTCTCTGGGGGGGACAGCGCAGGGCGGGGGGAGCGGCCGCCGCAGCGTCGCGGTTGTGGCGCTGCGGTGACAGCGCGGTGACAGCGCGGTGACAGCGGGCGCGGTGTCCCCGCAGAGTGTCACCGGCGTGTTCTGCCCCGCGCACACCGACGCGGCCCCGGTGAGCTGCGGGCTGCAGCGCGGCCACTTCCTCATCTCCGATGTCCCCTTCCCCGGCTCCAGCGTCACCGTGCTCAAGGTGCGCGGGGCCGCCACCCCCGGTGGCTCCCCCGGTGTCACCGCGTCCCCCTTGGGAGACATCGCAGCCCTGACATCCCCGTGTCCCCGCAGAGACCCCCGTTCTGCCCCGCCAAGCTGGGAGGGGACACGCCGGGTGGCCGGGGGGGACAGCCGGGGGTGGCCGCAGCGGTGGCCGTGCTGCTGGAGGCCACCTGCGGCCACGTGCTGCTGACCCGCCGGGCCGCCACCCTGCGCCACTTCCCCAATGTCTGGGTGCCACCAGGTGAGTGCGGGGACGGGGGACAGCAGCTCTGGGGACACCTCACTCAGCTGGGGACAGCTGTTTTGGGGTGCCCAGACTCCTGTCCCCCCACACAGGTGGGCACTTGGAGCCAGGAGAAGAGGTGAGGTGACACCGCGGGGAGGGCAGGGGGTGCCCAGGTGAGCGTGGGGACACGGGTGTCCCCTGACACCCCGAACCCCCAGCTGGTGGCCGCAGGGCTGCGGGAGCTGGCCGAGGAGACGGGGCTGCACCTGGAGCCCGGCACCTTCTCCTGGCACCTGCTCGGCCTCTGGGAGGTAACGACCCCCCCCCAATCCGGGGCTGGGCAGGGGGGTGACACCCCCGGGTGTCCCACGGGTCACCCCTGCTCCCCGCAGTCCCTGTTCCCCCCCTCGCTGAGCTGGGGGCCACCGCGCTGTCACCACATTGTCACCTACCTGGGGCTGCGCTCGGCCGAGCCCCGGCAGCAGCTGCAGGTGGGGGCACCTCCGGGGGTGGGGGTCCTTCCGGGGGTAGGGGGTCCCTCCGGGGGTGGCGGGCACCCCCAAGGTGTCCCTGAAGGGTAGGGTCCCTCCATGGGTGGGGGCACCTCTGAGGGGGTCCCTCCGTGGGTGGTGGGCACCTCCATGGGTGGGGGCACCTCCGAGGGGGTCCCTTCATGGGTGGGGTCCCTCAGTGGGTGGGGGACACCTCCGAGGGGGTCACTCCGTGGGTGGGGTCCCCTCTTGGTGTTGCAGTCCCTCTCTGGACGGGGGTCTCTCTGAGGGTGTGGGTCACCCCATGGCTGGGCTGTTCCTCCCCTCCCGAGGCTGGGATCCCTCCAAGGGTGGGGGTCCCTATCGAGGTTGGGGTTCCCCCCCAGCGTGGGGGTCTCTCCCTCCACGGGGGGTCTGTGCCCAGGCCCGGCTGTGTCCGAGCCCGTGTGAGGTCAGCGCCGTGGCCTGGCTGGAGCCTCGGCTCCTGGAGGCCATCGCTGCCACCGAGGATGGAGCCGAGGGACCGGGACCGGGATCAGGATCGGGATCGGGACCGGGATCATTCCCCAGAGAGCTGCCGGCCACCGTGGGGTGAGACCCCCCTGACCCGTGGGGACAGTGGCACGAGGCTGGGACGCCCTGGGGCTGCCCAGCCTGGCCGTGGCCCCATCCCTGAGCCCGTTCCCTGCCCCAGGATCACGGAGCTGAGCGCCGGCGGCTTCCGCAGCTCCCGGATTCCCACCGGGATCCTCCTGCGCCGCGCCCCGGCCCACGGCCCCGACCTGGAGCGCGTCAGCACCGGCACCAAATTCGCCCTGGGGAGGTGGAGAGCGGGGCTGGGCTGGGGACAGCAGGGATAAATCTCAGCGGGAATAAACTTCCAGTGGGAATAAACTTCCAGTGGGTTAAACTTCAGTGGGAATAAACTTCCAGTGGGAATAAACTTCAGTGGGAATAAACTTTTGTGGGATCCCAGCAGGAATAAAGTTCCCAGCGGGAATAAACTTCAGTGGGATCCCAGCCCGGGCTGGAGCGGGGACGTGGAGACCCCAGGAGTGGCTTTGTGTGGTTTCGGGTGGATTCCAGGGGAGTGGAGCAGGGTGCAGCCCCTTCCCGGGGCTGTTGGGATGGGGACACGGGATGGGACATGGAATAGGACATGGGATGGGACACAGAATGGGACACAGAACGGGACACGGGATGGGGACAGGGATGGGGACATGGAATAGGACACAGAACAGGACACGGAGCAGGACACAGAATGGGGACACGGGATGGGGACATGGGATGGGACATGGAACGGGGACAGGGATGGGGACATGGAACAGGACACAGAACAGGACACGTGTGTGGCAGTTTCCCGGTTTAATGCCACAGCCCCGCTCCCGCCTCGGCCCGCAGGATCCGCAGCAGCGCGGCGTGGACGCCCTGGTCCATGAATCCCTGCGGAGGAAGGAGAGCGGCTTTTCCCGGGATCCCACCCAAAACTGTGCCCCCACCCCCCAGAGAGCCCGGGCGGGGCCGGGGGTCCCACCTGGGCAGCGTGGAGAAGGTGGCTCCGGTACACGGCCACGGTGTCCCGGTGCTGCTTCTGCTGGACCTGGGGGGGCACAGGGTGGCGCTGGGTGACTCAGAGTGACAAAGGGTGACGCGGTGTGACACCGGGCGCTGTCCTCACCTCCAGCTGGAGCTGGAGCCGGGCGCTCCGGCCCCGCAGCCCCAACACCTCGGCCGAGAGTTTCTCCGTCTCCACCAGCAGCTGCTTCAGCTGGGAGGGCAAAGCCAGGGGCAGATTTGGGGCACCGGCGGGGGGTTGGTGGCTCTCAGCCCCCCTCAGAGCCCCCTTGGTCCCTGTCAGCCCCCAAGGTCCTGCTCAGCTCCCCCCGAGGTCCCCCCAAATGGGGCTGGGAGGGGGAACAGGATGGGGATGGGTTGGGATGGGATGGGATGGGGATGCAGATGGTGATGGGAACAACGGTGAGAAAGGGATGATGATGATGATGATGATGATGATGGAAAGAGGACTGGGAAGGGGATGGGGATGGGAAGGACATGGGGATGGATATGGGAGGAAGAGGAAGACAGGAAGGGGTTGGCGATGGGGACAAGGATGGGAGGAAGAGGAAGATGAGAAAGGGTCAGTGATGGGGACAAGGATGGGAGGAAGATGAAGACGGGAAGGGGTCGGCAATGGGGACAAGGATGGCAGAGGATGATGACGGCGGTGGGGCTGGTGCTGGGGAGGTCCCGTCCCTCACCTTCCCGTCCTTGTCGCGGCAGGCGCGCTCCAGCCGGGCCGCGCGTTCCCGCAGCGCTGCCAGGCTGCTCTCCAGCCCCTCCGCCGTCTCCCGCAGCTCCCGCAGCTCCCGTTCCCTCCCGGCCGCCCTCTCCTCGGCCGCCGCCGCCGCCTCCCGCCACCGCTCCGCCTCCGAGCCCGGCGGGACCCCGGCGGTGCCGCGCTCCGGGCCCTGCTCCGCGCCGCCTCCCGGTTCTCCCGGTGTCCCGCCCTCCCCGTCGCTGCCGGGGCTTTCTCCGGGCTCTCCCTCCATCTCCGTGATGAGCTGCAGGGCCTCGTGCTGCGAGCGCACCAGCGCGTCCAGCCGCCGGTGCAAATCCCGCACGATTGCGGCCCCGGCGTCGCCTCCCGCCTCCCGCACCCGCGCTCCCAGCCCGTCCCGCAGCGCCCGCAGCTCCCGGCGCAGCCGCCGCGCCTCGTCCCGGTTCCCGGGATCCCGCAGCTCCCGCAGCTCCCGCTGCAGCCGCTCCCGCTCCCGGCCCAGCCGCGCCAGCTCCACCAGGAGCTTCCCGTTGCCCTCCCGCAGCTCCAGCAGCTCCTTCTCCATCCTCCCGCTCTCTGCCGGGATCTCCTCCCGGTTCTTCCCGCCTGCGGCCGGCTCCGTGGCGTTCACCGGCTCCCGGCGGAGCTTTTCCAGGAGGGTTTGGGATCCCTGGAGCATCCTGGCGTGGATCTGGTCCTGCTGCTCCAGCGCCTGCTCCAGCCCCGCCGCCAGCTGCTCCCAAGCCTGGTCCCGGGGGGAATTCTCGGCTTCCCCACGCAGCTCCCGGCTCCGGGAGAAGGCGCCGGCCTTGGCTTCCCGCATTTTGGAGCACTCCTCTCCCAGCCAGGCCAGGAACGGGATCAGCGCCGGGGCCTCGCCGCTGCCTTGTCCTCCTTGCCACTCTTCGTCTCTCGTCCTCTTCCTCAGCTCCGCCACGCGCCGGGTCAGGAGCTCCAGGCAGGCGCCGTCATCCTCCTCATCCTCCTCATCCTCACCCGCGTCCCGTGCCGGCAGGAGCCGCACGAGCTCCCGCAGCCGCCGCCGGATGCCCTCGGCAGCTTCCTCCAGCCGCCGGCATTCCAGAGTCTTCCTCGCCAGCTCCTCCCGCAGCCGCCGGGCAGCGCGGCCGTCCCGCTGCTCCTCTTCCTCCTCCTCCTCCTCCTCGCCCTGGATCCCCACCTGTCCAGCACCATTCTCTGCGGGAGGGAAAAACAATCCCGTTTTCCCAATTTTTCCCTATTTTTTCCCAATTTTCCCCCGTTGTTTTCCCATTTCCCCCCATTTTTTCCCCCTTTTTTGGAGGGCTCCAGGAGGTCTCACCTCTCCTCCCGCAGTCTGGGATCTTCTGGAGAGCCCAGCTCGGGGCCTGCCCGGTGACACTCCCGGTGACATTCCCAGTGTCCTTGTCCCTCTTGTGGCCCTGCAGCAGCTCGGCCACTTCCAGGCTGCCGTGAGCCAGGGCCAGCTCCAGCGCTGTCCTGAGCCCGGGATGTGACACGCAGGGACACATGAAGGATGGCAGGGGGTGGCACGCGGGCACAGTGACAAGATGGCACCGTGACACAGTGACACGGTGGCACAGGTGACCCCAATCCCTTCCCCGCAGCGGTGACACCCTTGGGGACACCCCAGTGTCCCCAGTGTCCCCTGTCACCCACCTGCCATCCCTGTCGGCCAGCCCGGGCTCGGCCCCGCGCCGCAGGAGCTGGGCACAAACAGCCACGTGGTTCCCCTGTGCTGCCAGCATCAGGGGGGTCTGGCCGTGCTGGGGGGACACTTGGGGTGACCACCAACCCTTGCTGTCCCCTGCCACCCCCTGCTGTCCTCCTGTCCCCACTCACAGCGTCGGGGACATCCAGTGGCGCCTCGTGGTCGCAGAGCAGGAGCACGCTGGAGGCGCAGCCCGAGGAGGCTGCAGGGGGGGTGGTGTCACTGCAGGGCCTCTGGGGGACCCCTCTGGTGTCCCCCACGAGTCCCGGGGTGTCCCTGTGTCCCCCCCTCACCGGCCCAGTGCAGCGGTGTCCGGTTCTGCCCGTCCACGTGGCGCTCGTTGGCTCCGTGCTGGGGGGACAGCGGGAAGGGAATGGGAATGGGAATGGGAACGGCCCTGGACCCCATCCCAGCCCTGCTCCCATGCTCATCCCTGTCCCTGTTCCCTGTCCTTGTGTCCATCCCACCTCCATCCTCATCCTCCTCTGCATCCGCATCCTTATCCCTGGCTCTGTCCGGATCTCCATCCCTGTTTTCACACCCAGTCCATCCCAATCCCATTCCTGTTTCCATCCCATCCTGTTCCCATTCCCATCCCACTCCCATCCTGTTCCAATTCCAATTCCCTTTCCCATTCCCATTCCGTTCCTATTCCTTTCCAATTCCAATTCCAATTCCCATCCCATTTGAATTCCAATTCCCACCCCATTCTAGTTCCCATTCCCATCCCACTGCCATCCCATCCCATTCCCATCCCACTTCTATCCCGTTCCTGATCCTGTTCCCATCCCATCCCATTCCCACTCCCATCCTATTCCCGTTCCCATTCCCATCCCATCCCATCCCATCCCATCCCATCCCATCCCATCCCATCCCATCCCCATTCCATTCCCATTCCCACTCCCATTCCCACCCCACTCCCACCCCGTTCCCGTCCCTCTCCCACCTGCAGCAGCACCTTCACGCACTGGGGCTGGCAGGCGATGGTGGCCAAGTGCAGGGCGGTGCTGCCTGTGGGGACAGGAGGGGCTCTGGGGACACTCCCGGGGGACAACTGCTCCCCTAAGGGACACCCCCCTCCCTCAGGGGACACTCCCTCCTCGGGGACACTCCCCAGGGTGCTCCCGGGGCTCCCTGCCTCGGGGTGCAGGTCTGAGCTCCTCCACAGGTGACACAGGGACCTGCCTGGCTGTCCCCAAGGTGTCCCCAAGCTGTGCCCAGCTGTCCCCACCTACCATCATCGTTGGTCCCGTTGACGGGAGCCCCGTGCTCCAGCAGCAGCGTCAGGCACTCGGTGAGACCCCCGGCCGCGGCCAGGTGCAGCCTGGTGGGGGGGGAGAGGTGGCCGTGACCCCCGTGCCCCCCCCCGAGCCCCCCAGTGTCCCCCCGGCGGTGACATACGCGGACTGTCCCCTGGCGTTGAGCTTGGCGGGGCGGGCGGCCTTGCGGGCGGCCAGGGCGGCCACCCGGGCCACGTCCCCGCGTGTCACCGCCTCCAGCAGCTTCTGGTCCTGCCGCGTCCAGCTCTCCACCTGCGGGACCCCAAATCCAGGACACGACCCCAGACCCCACCCCGGGACAGGATCCCCCCCAGTGCGGGTCCCCCCGCGCATGTCGTGCCTCAGTTTCCCCAGATCCTCCCGATCCTGAGGGATCGCGGAGCCGGGAGGGGGCGGAGAGGCCGCAGCGTGTCCCGGCCTGTGCCCGCCCGGCTGGTTTGGCGAGTGCCACCGAGCCGGGCTGGGCTCCAGCGTGGCACCGGGAGGGGTGGCACCGGCACCGGCACCGGGAACCGAGAGCAGGGTCTGGGAACGGCAACCGGGACTGGGAGCAGGGAGGGGCTGCGGGGCCAGGCTGGGGGCTGGGTTCGGGTCAGGATTGGGGCTGGGATTGGGGAGGAGGATGGGAATGGGGCTCGGATTGCAGCTGGCATCGGGAGCAGCGTCAGAACTGGGACTGGGACTGGGACTGGGATTGGGATCGGGGCTGGGACAGGGATTGGAGCTGGGACAGGGATTGGAGCCAGGATCAGGACCAGAATTGGGAATGTGGCTCGGATTGCAGCCAGGATCGGGGCTGGGACAGGGACTGGGGCTGGGACAGGGATTGGAGCCGGGATCGGGATCAGAACTGGGACTGGGATTGGGATTGGGATTGGGATTGGGATCGGGGCTGGGACAGGGATTGGGGCTGGGACAGGGATTGGAGCCAGGATCAGGACCAGAATCGGGGCTGGGAGTGGAATTTCTCTGGGATCGTCGCAGCTGGGGTGGGCTCGGGACCGAGGCAGCATCGGGGCTGGCACTGGGGGCGGTCACAGCCGGCAGCGGGCTGGGATCAGGGCTGGCACCGGGGTGGGGACGGCAGCGGGGCTGGCACCGGGACTGGGGTGGCGGCGGCACCGGGATTAGGATGGCAGCAGGGCTGGCACCGGGATTAGGATGGCACCGGGGTTGGGGTGGCGGTGGCAGCGGGGTTGGGATGGCAGCGGGGCTGGCACCGGGGTTGGGGTGGCGGTGGCAGCGGGGCTGGCACGGCAGCCGGCACGGGCCCCCGTTCCCTGCCGGGACTCACCGTCACCTGCGAGCTGGAGCAGGAGAACATCCTCTTCATGGCCGGGACCCCCGGCACCCCCGCCGCGGGAGCTCCCGGACCCCCTCCCCTCCGTTCCCGGCCCCCTCCTGGCTGCGGGACCCCCGGGAGCCGCCGCTCCGGGGCCGCGTCCTCCGCCCGCCCCCCTCCCCCCACCCGCTTCATTTCAGCTGCAAACTCTTCATTTTTCACGATTTTCCAAATTTTTTTGTTTTTAATATTTTCCATTTCTTTTGTCCTTTGTTTTTACAGTTAATCCGCGGGGACCCCGTCCCCCCCCGCCCCACCCTTGGGCAGCCCCCCGACACCGGGGGGGGGGGGGTCCCGG